TCAGGATTTCTCTCTAGATTTTTTTGAAGTCTCAATTTTGTGTCCTTAGGGTCCATAAGTTATAGTTCATGCAAAATTTTACCACAGTTTAAATTATTTTATATACCGCCCCTCAAAGGGTTAAGAATTTGCTTCATCATGCCAACTAATCGTTCCCAAAAACTGTTCGACAAAGAAGCAGTTAGAGGTTGAATACCATCAAATTTTTCTAATTGTGTTGTATTTAGCAATGACATTCCAATGAACGAGTTTTAAACAATATTATGAGCCCACAAAAGCACTTCCGTTCTCACAATAACCTACGGAAGGTTAGCATCTGAAGGCTATAAACCGCCGTAAAGTCTGAAGAAAGCTCTCAATAGAAAGTAAGAAAATAGCTCAAAATGTGCAACTCTATACACTGCACAAGTATATATGCAAATCCAAGCTTTCGCTTTTCCTTTTAAATACCCAGATTCAACCATATTAAACCGGATAATTTCAAAAGTGTATACATCTCTTACTCGATATTCTGGTAATGCAGAAATCGGTGCTGTTAAATTCCTCTTTGCATATCTTAAACAAATAACACACTCACTGCTAACTGTTTTCACTATTAATGAGGTCCAGTAAATAACCCTATCTGCTGTTTGGAATTTCATTTTAAATTCAGTGTTATTACAGGCACTGCTCTCCATTCAATAACAACTTTTTTTTTTTTTTTTTTTTTTTTTTTCAAAATAGCAACAGAAAGTATCAAGAACCCATGAAAATTCGTTATATTTACCACTTGGAAAATAAATTTCAAATTGTAACCTCAGAGTTGGAGATACAAACATATATCATTGTACAATGCTTTTTCAGTAACGATGCAAATTTCTAATAAAAAGATTATAAGTTTGGAAATGCTGAAAGATTTCTCTATTTCAAACAAATATTCCATAAATCAAGTTTCCTCTCAAACCCCTTCAATTTCTCAAAAGTACCGAGAACAGAGAAAAAAATTGCTCTGTGTAGAGAGATGTTTAGTTCATTTAATTTTGAGAATATATCTGAATTTGAGACTCAGTGCACTTAGTCATGTGTCATGAGCAAGAAATGATGTAAAACCTCGTTAATTTTGTTTACGAAAACAAGACATTTTTCCGAATCTAGAAGTAACACAAGGGCAGGCCTTCGGGACCACAGTTTGAGAAACGTAGGTTTAAGCGACAAGCAATGATATGCAGATTTCATTGTGAAGAAAATGATATGCAGATCATTGTGAAAAATTGCGTAAAATCTGATCTTAATTTTTTTTTTTTCTTTTCAAAAAAGGATATTTTGTTCACAGTTCATATTTTAGAAAACAGCGGCCGGCTTTATGTCTTGGTACACAGCCAACCTACAAAATTATTTGCATACATAAAAAATGAAAAAACACTTCTGTATGTATGCCTGTTAGATATAAGATCGTAAAGTTATAAAACATGTAATCGAAAGTTATAAAACATGATTAATGCATTTTTAGCATTTGAAAAATTATAAATTATTTTATGAAAGCGCTTTCGGGATGAAAATGAACAAAATTATAAATTAAAGAATGCTACCTATTAGTAAATTTTAAGGATTTCGCTGAATGATATTAAATGAAGAAACGAAATCAAATTTGAATCATATCCCCAAGGAGAGCAATAAGCTTAATAGTGGTTTCTAACACTAAAATATCTTTAAAGATTCCAAAAATTTAAAAATAATTATCTCTGTCAATTTTCGTCGTATGAGAGGTCAGAGCTTTTTTTTTTTTTTTTTTTTTTTTTTTTTTTTTTTTTATTATATATATTATATATATATATATATATATATATATATATATAACGAGTATAAAATTTTTACTAAAATAGAACTAGATGAATGAAAAGACCGTAATTACAAAACTGATTTTTTTTTTTTTTTTTTAATATTGTTTGCATGCGTACAGGTTCGTAATGAATTGAACGCACAAGTATGATAAAAGTTAATAAAATTTATTCTTATCAAAAGAAATAAAAACCAAATGCTGAAATTTTTCGTCACGGGTATTTGTACAATAGCACAATACCATACAGTAGTTATATTTTAAACTACTGAAATGTTAAAAGAGGTTATCACACCTCTTTTAACGTTTTAAACTCTTTTAAAGTCCCGTCTACAGTCCCTGCTGGACGGGTCTTTTCTGAGAAACGAGATTCTGGCAGTACTGGTTTTTAACGAGAGGATTCCTAGAAAAAAGAGCCCCCCCTAGCTACGGAAGCAATGTTGCGGCTACGCGGGATTTTTTCAAACCTCACCGAAAATGTCTCGGGTCCCAGGTAGAGACAACCTATCAGACAAAAGTTCTGCTTCTGAAGGATCACGTGATCCCGATTTGAGCGATAATCGATTACTGTTTGGTGTTCAAGTCTTTGTATTAAAGTGAGAATGGTAACCTAGCTACGTGTGTTTCCTGGAATTGTGCGGGTCCTGAGAATTGTGCCTTTCGATGTCAAGTCCCGCGTAGCCGAAACATAATGTGATTAAGACATTAAATAGAACACAATTCAAAGCGCCGAAAAAGCTAATCTTATCTCACCGCGAAGTCGCTACAGCCAAGAACAACAGTTATCTAAACAACTGAGCTGAAATGTTTTTCTTAGGCTTTTTAAAGCTTTTAAATCACGAGAAGCTTCTGGTAATTTCCGTTTTTTTCGAGATTTCTGGGAAACAAAAGAGTAGAATTACGAGATATATATTTATTAAATGTTAAATGCGCGTGTTCCTGTATTTTGACTTTTCCGATGTAGCTTACGCTTAAAATAAGTCTGGTGCACGGGAATATAAAACAAATTTAATTATAAATTCTACTAAAAATAGCAAACTAAATACAAAAACTTGAATATTTGAGTCCTTTAAAACATTTTTGTAACTTTTCGTAATTGTAAATATATGTCTGTGACAAATGACTGCGAAAATAAAGGCAGCTTAAAGTCTTTTTATAGACACCATCAGTAATATCCAAAAGTAAGTGTTATATTCTTTATGATAAATGAGCACTAATTAACTTTAAAAACCTATAAGGTATTTCTCCCGCTTTCCTAGCGTCCTTCGTGGTGTAACGGTAGCACGCTGGTCCGGTATCCAGAGGTGCGTGGTTCGATTCCCGGCGAAGGCGGTTGCTAATTTTTCATCTCTCTTGGCTTCCAAAAATCCTAATGTCTCTACAGTGGCGCCCGAGCTAAAAGGGTTGTGGATGATGATTCTCCGCACCCAGGATTGGGCGACTAGGTCCCTTAAACCCTAGTAGTCCTTTAAAAAGGGGAGTATTTAAGGTATTTCTCCCACTTTCCTAGCGTCCTTCGTGGTGTAGTGGTTCTACACGCTGGACCGGTATTCCAGAGGTTCGTGTTTCGATTCCCGGCGAAGGCGTTAGCTATTTTTCATCTTTTCTGCCTCTAAAAAAATCCTAATGACTCTACAAACCTAACAAGATAAACAAGCCAAGTGAGCAAAAATTTGTGAAAGATAGGAAAAAATACGCCTGTAAAACCTTTTCTGCACGACATTTACCCCCTTCAGATTCGTCACGTGATATTTGCTTTCGTCAGAGGAAGCAAATATTCCCTGTATTCTGAAAAGAGGCACGTATCGTTCTGAAGACTTCTTAAAACATTACTCTAAAAAAACTATTTAATGATACAGCAACTGTATTTAATGATACAATAATCACTGTGGAAGTTCTGGGTTTTAGTAAAAAGGGTTTCTAATAATAAATAAATAAATAGCAACTATACAAGTAGGAATGTAGCAAACTAACACTGCTCTCTGTATTTGTACAGTTCAGTTCATGAAAACATCAGATGAAGGGAAAGCTACCCGTAAGTTGACAAATCTCTTGCGATTACGCATTCATAGATTTGTAGTGCCACATATTTGCTGTGACTTATGTAAAACGATAAATGTTAGAAATATGACCATACCTAAAGTATTGAGGAACGCCTTCATAAAGGCACTCCGGCATAACGGTGCTGCATCTTTATGCAAGATAGCTGCTATTCGAAAAGACAGAAATCTTTATAACGATATCGCGGTGTAATAAAGCGTACAGAAACTGAAGATCATTTTTTTGCTCGAAACTGATCTTCGTCTACTTATTTTTGTGTTGTTAACTGGTAATTTATTAAACTTTCATCATTAATAACATAATATTACATATGCAATTAAATGAAAATTATGTATTGTACTTAAGTAACTCGGTGTAACTGGATATATATGATTTTCAAATTCAATTCAATTTTTAAATAGCAAAATTAAAAATAAGAAAAGTTTCGCAGTGGTAATTTTGACATTACTGTGTTGATAGTACCCTCCGAAAATTCAAATTTCGAATACGACAATAACATTGGAATACGACATAAAAATACGTGCCGAGTGTTTTACCGTTACACCACAAAAGCCTGCTGGAAGGAGGGAGAAAATGTCTTATAAGAGTATTCTAAGAGTAAAATGAGAAAGTAAAACAATCTGAGAGAGATCACTAAGCAGTCAAAAAGTTTAGGTCTCTCCGTGTGCTTAAGAAGTTAACATCAATATTAGCACATTAGAAAAAAAAAAAAAAAAATATTCAAGACAGATCATTGAGGATTGAAAAGAAGAGTTGAACGCTGGGCAAAACGTGGGTATGCTGGATGATTATTTTAATTTAAAGTATTTTTCGATTTATTAAAGAATCGGGGGTTTACTGGGTGTTACTCCCGATCGGGTAATAGTGTTTTAAAAAAAGGAGAGAAGTTCTAAAACATATAGAAATGACACAAATGCACATAATTTGTAACAAGTATAAATAATTAATTGATACTAATAAACAAGTAAAATAATTAATTGATACTAATAAACAAGTAAAATAATTAATTAATTACTATTAATAATTACGTAATCTTGTAGAGATAAAAGCCTTTAAAATTTTCGTTCCCCTCACTCTGACAAATGGATTAACATATAGAATTTGAAATAGGAAGCAAACTCACCATCATCTATCTCATCCATATTTTAGGAGAAATATCTGCCCATTTCTCAAGGGGTATTGGTCAAGAAAAAATGAGACACTAAGAGAAATAAGGCATTTAAATGCAGGTATCACTTGAGATTCTCCCATGCGTATTTGTTGAGCACTTTATTAAGAGACGCAAATAAGTGAAATCAAATTTGAGGACCGATTGAAATATCATGTGATTTTATGTCTTCGCTCATTGGCTGTTACTCGGAAATCACGTCATTTTCAGCCTTGCAACAAGCATGTGACTTTTGAATAAAGCAGTATATATAAATTTTTACTAGTAAATAATAGATATTCATGATTGGAATGAATTTATATTAGAAAATACTCTTATACAATTGCAATTCTGAGAATCGTAAATTTTATTTTTAGAAGCGAATTTTATTTTTAGGAGTAGATTTTGCTCAAACTACAGAATGTATGAAACTTTATATCATATTCCGTGATAGAAATCTTTTCATTTTCTCTTTATTATTATTATTTTATTCACTGTTCTTTAAGATAATTTTTATTCTTATCAAACCTTCTTCATACACGTATGCGGCAAGAAAAATGTAAATATTAGTTTTTTTTTCCCGCTCTTACTTTATGAGATTCAGTCTAAGCCTATTCTTTGACAAGACTTAAATATATTTAAGTCTTGCAACATATATATCTTGAAATATATATATTTCTTTTCTGGTAACTGAAAAGAAAGCTGAAGAAGACTTTTGCTTTCACTAGCTAGACTAAAATATCTTTTAGAGTTTATTTATTGGAAAATAATTACAGAAAAATATTATTATTGTGGTGAAAGAATATTAATTTCGGAACAGATATGCAAAATAGTTTAATTCTTTTGAAGATTTACGCGAGGGGGAAAAAAAAAAGTATCAATATAGAAGCTTACTGTCAAACTGTTTGGCCTTTCATATCAGACAGAACGGATGACATACTTTTAATATTTAAAGCATGTAGACATAGGAATTGTGAGCGAATTAATATCGACACAAAAACGATGAGGTATTAACAAATAGGTTATGCAGATGCTGGAACGTGAAAAACGTACACATTGCCCTCTCAGGGATTTGTACTCTGAACCCCCGGCATAAATGTTGAGGGTGCTTCCACTTACATCCCGAAGATATGCGGAAAGGTGGGAGAAAATACCTTATATACCTTTCCCTTTTAAAGGGAGACTGCGGATTAGGAGACCCCGTCATCAAATCGTGGTGGTGACGAATTATCTTTTACCACCTTTTAGTTCGGGTGCCACTTGTAGAGTCTTTTAGAATTTTTTAGAACCTCTCGAATGCGTTTCGAACGTGCTTCCAGTTGCACCACGAAGGCATGCTGAAGGGCGGGAGAAGATAATAATCTTCTCTCTATATATATCTATTATCTATCTCTATCTATCTATCTATCTATCTATCTATCTATATCTATATCTATATATAAATAAGAAATAAGAAGCAATATGTAATAAATAAAGAATATATATAAGAAAATAATAAATATTATATATAAAAAAATATAAGAAAATATAAATATATATAAGAAATAACAAAGATAATATATAAGAATAAGAAAGATATGTAATAAATAAAGAATATGTATAAGAAAATAATAAATATAATATATATAAGAAATATATAAGAAAATAATAAAGATAATATATAAGAAAAATAAAGAACATGCGAAAGATTGAATTAGCAACGCAAATTTCGCTTCTCAGTTCTAAAAATAGTAACCTCTTCCTGCACTGCGTCATTTCTAGATTAATTCATGTCATATGATTCATACATAATTCTGGTGATGTAAATGGAAATAAAACTCAAGCATCCAATAGTAATTTTACAGTAATATTAACTATCTAATCAAAATGCACAGAAAACCCAAACTAACTTAGTCTGAATTAAGATTTGACCCTGAACATAACGTACTTGCTTTCTACGCTTTGGCCTAGCTACACTGTTTGTTGTCTGCTTCCTGCTATATTAGTGCAAATTTATCTCAAATGTAAGCTTTTTGGAAATAGGCACAATTAACGTGCCAACTTGTTTGCGCCACAACATAGTGCTGAAATAAAAAATAAAGATTTAATCTGTCTTCGCCTTCAATTTCCTATTCATTATGGATCAACATTTCTATGTCATCAAAATTTCTGCTAGTCATTACTTCTACATTTGTTTTTATTATATATATAAAATTCTTTATTTGAACTTTTCCTTTTTGCATCCTAATATCTTGTAGGTGCCTTTTCCAATTATCTGACATTCAAGGTAATACGTTATCACTTAGGGCCGAATTTTTCAGTGCAAAGAAATTCTTTATTTGATGAGATAAAATGTAGTTTGATTGAGGATTTGGTGCCTAGGAAACCTCATATGGCACATAAAGCAGCAAATTCTTGTTAAGAAAACTTGCGATTCATTTAACAAAATTAGAAAGATATGGAATAAAATCTAACATTCCCTCCCATTTAATTATGAAAATGTAACGAATTGAACTTAATTATATTTAGGATTTCATTAAGAGAAAATGCGCGACTGTCCGTTTGAAGGAGATGGAGAAAATTTTCCATATCTATACTATAGTTATAACTATAATTATAATTAAATTATAGTTATAACTATATAATTAAATTCGCACATGGGATCGTTATGCATGAGAAACACCTTCAAAAAACCGTCCTTCTATCTTCGCTTAGACGAGGACAGAAGAATACTTGTTTGCATATTGCGATTTGGACTCTAAATTGGCAAGCTGATTTGAATAACCTTTTCTGCTATTAAAATATTTACTACAATAAAGGACTGCTGCATTAATCCGTGTTGTCACAATTATGGAGGATAATTTCTTACTCTGTTGTCACAAATAGACAGGAATGAAGGGCTGCTTGGTTCTCTACGCATTGCTGAATACCTTAAAGATATTTAGGAAGTACTTTATTCATTTCGGTAATTTTATGCTACTCAAATCGCTGAATGATGAATGATGAATCACATCAATGATGAATTTCCCACAATGCACTTTGATGCAAAGTGTTTTGAGCACTGCAGGATTTTATGTTAATGAACCAGTTATTATGATTTGAACTTCATTCCGGCTTTAGCGTCAAGTTTTTAAAATGTGCACCGTTATACGTTCTGTCGCACAAATAATGCACCCTGTCATTAGGTTTCTTTATCAATGGGGAGAAGGAAAAAAATCTGCAATGCCCTCCCCTGGACTCGAACCTGGACATCTCGAATACGCGCCGAGTGTGCTACCGTTACACCACGAAGGCATACAGAAAGGAGGACGAAAATACATTACATACTTCCCCTTTTAAAGGGCGACTGGGGATTAGGAGACCCCATCGCCAAATCCTGGTAGTGAAGAATCATCATCCACCATTTTTTAGTTCGGGTGCTACTGTAGAGACATTAGATTCTTTTTTGATGCGGGAGACGTGATAAATGTGACCGCCGAGACCCAAACCTGGACCTCTTAAATACGCACTGAGTGTGCTACCGTTGCACCACGAAGGCATGCAGAAAGGAGGGAGAAAATACCTTATAAAGTTAAATAAAAAGTTTATTTAACCATCTTAAGACTTGATCATTTGTTTCAGACTAAAGCGATAATTCTATTCCCAGTCTAATTAGATCTGCGAGACACAAGCCTCTAGCCATAACAGAACCCTACAGTACTTTGAATACCGCTTTTCTACATCATAAACAGCAAGTCATATATTTTATAAAAGAAAGTCATATTGAATGATGTAGGGAGACATACCAAACTTGTGTGCCTGAAACGTTTTTTCTTGCTTTTCAAGAAATTTAACAAAAAATGTATAACTATTACGTTATATTAATGAAAATTCAAACTCCGCCCAATATCGAGGCGTATATATAAACCCGCAGGTTGCTAAAAAAGACTCTTGAGACTCAACTATATTTTCAATCAATACTGAGAATGTGTGAGCCAAGTTGCAAATGTCATTAACAGAAATTCAAGGTATCGCGGACGAAAACGTCGCGGAGAAGGTGAATACGTTGTTGGACAAAATATATTGGGAGAAAATAAAGCAAGGAGAAAACATCGCAGTTCTAAAACATTGTGGCACTCATCATCGAAAATAAAGTGTCATCAAAAATAAAGCATCGTAAAAAACATAGCAATCGAAAATAAAGCAGTTCAGAAACATCACAATCTTAAAACATCGTCTTCGAAAATATCATGGTAAAAAATAAAGCACCTACCAATCATCGCATGAGATAACATCACAGACATGCGTTTTCAGGCTTTAAAAATTTGCATATGAGCACAATAATTTGTGAGCACAAGAAGAAATGAGGAATATTTTAAATTTTGTATTTCATACTTTTGAATTAACTAAGAAATTTTTGATGAAAAATAAAAAGGATTTTAAGCATTAAAAAATTGAAAATGAGTAGATAAACGATGGCAGTTAATAGAATTTTAAATTTATGCATTTAATTAATAAAATCCATTCATTAATTAATCTCTTTCATAACGTTTTATTGGTAATTTTTCACAAAAATATAGTTTAAAAAGATAAGAAAAAGAAAGATCGGTAACTCCAATAGAATTGTTTAATTAATTATCACATTTGAAAATTCTGTAAACTGACACAAGTAACATTAATTTTCTACCCATTTCCAGTTACTGAGTGCTTAAGTTTCCTTCTTAATTTTTCAGCAAAAATTTATTACTTAATTAAAAAATATAAAAGCAAAAATATTTCTAATTCCTTCTTGCGCTCACAAATTATTATGCTAATACACATTTACAACTTTTAAAGTCTGGAAAACTCATGCGATTTTATCGTCACGCGATGATTTGTAGGTGCTTTATTTTTTACCGCGATATTTTTTACGGCGATGTTTTAAAACCGTAATGTTTTTTAACTGCTTTATTTTCAACCACGATGCTTTGTACTATGATGTTTTAAAACTGCGATTTTTTTTTTTTTCCTTGTTTTCTTTTCTCTCACGATGTTTTATGCGATAACCTTTTTACCTCGCGATGCTTTCTCCGTGACGTTTTCGTCAACGATGTTTTTTCCTGCAACCAATTTCATTGCGGCTGAACACTGGAAAAAAAAAAAAAAAGTG